AAGCCAGACATACTGTTAACAACGAAGTGGGTGCTGAGCTGGCCTTACTTAGCTAGCAAACAAGATGATACGAGGCTCCAGGACAGTCATCAGACTTTCTAGGACCTTGACGCTTCTGGGGCACTTCCAAAGTTAATTCCAAACCGCTATTTTATTGAATTAGATATGGTACTTGACAATGGAAAACTACATATAAGGTCTGTTTGTCATCTTGCCTGCGGCACATGGAGGAGGTTATTGCTTCGTTAAAATAGTACTGCTTAACGAAAATAAAAGAGAAGAATAGGAAAGTCAAAGACTCTTTTGGAGAATGAATGGATTTTAAGTACTTAAAAAAAATAATAAGTAGTACAGAGTTTATTTTTTAGAAAGCTTCATTATTGATATTCTTCTATTTTTTTTAACACACTGCAGAATGATTCATTCAGAATTTAAGTACAGGCTGCTTTGGCGCCTGCAGCTTTGTGGGATGCCAGCCGTTCGGGGAACTGAGTAACAAACAGAAGGAAGAGAGGGACCGGCGGTATCTGGCAAGAAGCTGTATCTACTCTTCCTCTCTGCTTTTTCAGCCTTGGTTAGAGGTGCCTTGGCTTTCTGTGCTTCCTAGCCCAGCAACCAGGCTTTTTCCCTCTTGCATGTCTACATCCCTACCTTCTTCCCAAGCAGACTGCCGCTAAGCAGCTGGGAAGGGAGCCGATTGCCCCTAATCAGCTTAGTGCTGGGAAGCTCAGGACACTAAATACAGATGGCATCACCCCCCCAACACACAGCATGCCGCTGTGATTTTCAGCGAGGCGTCTCTCCCTCTTAATCTTGTTTGAGTGGACCGACGACCCTCTCAACCACAAAGCAGCGGAACGCTGCACTGACTTGTTCACAGAAGTTTAAGAAACCAGCAAACATGCATATATTTTGAAAGTAGTAAAAATTGCAGCCCTCCAATACCATTTTTTCACTTGCAACTTTGTCTTTTCCACAGTTGAAATAACATATTTTAAATAGGAGAATACGGAACTGGCTTACATACAAATGTTAATACAGTTTTGGGTTTCTTTTTTCCCATCACAAAGGGCTAGGCAGTCATATTCTTACATGGGATAATATTTTATACCACAAGTAATTTGTGGGAATTCCAGATAAACCACCAGCTGCAATAAAAATAATGCAGAAAAAGTAATTGGGCTTTGGCCCACATCTTGCTGATTGTCCATTTTCAAATTTCAGTCTGTAAGGGAATCACCTGGGACAGGATTAATCTCATATGAGTTTAGATGTGTCCAGCACAGACATCATCCCCCTGAGCCAGTCACCCTCAGGTCCTTGTACAGTCAGTGTAGAGAAATAGGCCCTTTTCTGTCAAGGACCGTCTGGTCTGCTTTAGACATCTACCTTGGGATGAGAAGAATCATTTCACTGACTCTGCTCACTACATCCCTGTTGGCTCTAGGGTCTGTAGACATGCAGTTTGTACCTGTCTACGTTTACTCTGATAAATCCCCCCCTCCATCCCATGGTGGGGAAACCAATTAAATGCCACCCGATTTCTGGAGGCTCTACTCACCCCTATTTCCCATTGAGTTTGGTGCAAAATAGCAGTTACTCAGCTTCTGGCAGAAACAAGCAGAGTTCAAATCATGTGCAGGCAGCTTTTGGCCTGGGGATATGTACCTTCCCTTCTGAAAGTGGCAAACCCTGGGAAGAGCAGACGCACACGCTTGATGGAGCAGGCACCAGGGAATAGCCAGAGCAGGCTTCTGTGGGAGGCAGTGGCCTGCACAGGGAGGCAAAAAAGCCTTGCTGACTCCATTCAGTGAACCCCAGTTCGCTTAGGGCGAACCATTAAATATTTGGCATTTGTGGATTTGGCACTGCACAGGACTGTGAACTGGAGTCGCAGGGGCATGAACAAATACCCCGGCCTGCTCCCTTTGCGGTGGGGCTGACCGGTGTTAGGCAGGCCGGTGGGGAGGGCTCTCTCCGAGACCCATGAAATGCAAGAAGCATTTTTTCCTTACCTCAGGCTGCAAAAAATGCAACCTTGATCTGCAACTCCCTGTACAGTCAGGGAAGGAAAAGAAGTTAAAATAATCCAAGTAGGTACAGCCTACTTGATAACCCCCAGGGATATAACTTGTTCGCTAACAGACTATAAAGGGATCTTCATGTTGTCCACTAATGTCTAACATCTGTGATATTTAATTACCTGCACTCATCTTTTAAATGAAGAAGGTGTGCAGTAATCCTTCCTGAAGCCTAACTGAGAAAACAATATTTATTAGCTGAGGGCCTATTTTAGAAACAGATGGGGTGTAAAGAGCTTGAAGGTAGTGTACAGGAGGAGTGTGAAGCAGGAGAGATTAATTGATAAGTAATTGAGATAGAGGGGAAGAGTGTTGAATGCAGAGAGCACAGAACAAGAGATATCCAAAGCTCTGGGATTTCACTGGGACAGATCTAATTTTAATGGTGTGTTTCCAAAACTGCCTTTGTGAAACCACGACGCTGAAGAGTGACAAGGAGCAATGTCGGGCCGACTGGCCAGCTCTCCTCTGAACTGTGTCCACCCCGTCCCTCTTCACCCTGTCCCCCTGCTCTCTGACTTCCTGCTTTGTCTCTCTTGCTCGCACAGGGACCTCATGGCGTAAGCACCAGCAGGGTGACCTGCTAGAGCAGCAACATTAACCCAGTGCCCGCACATCATTGCTAGGTCTCAACCACAGCAGAACTAGAAAACATCTGTTCCTATACTTTAGGAAAAACACAGGAAGATCTCTTACAAACTATTCAATCATTACTCCATAAAAATGGTAACCGTATCAAACACTATATCTTAAAACTTTCTCTATCCTACAAAGATAATTAACAACTTGGCTAGGTCAGCTGTTAGCCCTTTTCTGCTCTGCCTTTGTCAGACTTCCATGAGTATTTAAAGAGCTAATCTTTTGTTACACTTAAACATTGCCCAATGTTAATAATCAGGCAGTGTTTATCACTGAAAGGTTTTTTTTGCCGGCCTTGAAATCCTCACCTTGTTTTGTACTAAGAGCTACAGAGCAGGGAATAGGCAAATAAAGAAGAGGAGGACACTGCCGTTAATGAATAAGCTTTGCAAAGAATAAGAATAGGTGAGAGACAATCACCTCTCATGTCATTCCGTCAGATCAGCAGGATGCAAGTCCCATGTCAAACTCACAACCTGAGCAAAAGCTGAAACTGATACCCAAAGGAGGTACTTAGAGAAGTGGTGCAGATCCAAGGGACAGTTGGAAAGAAGAAGCACTTAAGAACAGGCAGCTCCAGTGAGCCAGAGGAGGCTGTGCCACACGGGGCTGCAGAGGGAACCCAGCTGTCGGGGCCCATCAGCCACCAAAGCTGAGCAAAGCTGAGCTCATGGGGACTGGGAGCAGGAGAGGGCTTCTCAAGGGGTGCAGCCAAACACAGTATTCATATAAACTTAGCCAGCTGACTTCAGTGGTTGTGTCTATAACCTACAACCATTTCTCCTGCAAGATTCCCACCATTTTTATGCCATGGATGTTGCTTTGCTATTCATTCCCACCGTGAAAACCTGAGGTGAGCCTTCTTCCTTCCAGCCAGTGTCCTATCCACCACTGGACAAGAGACAACATGGCAGCACTTGTGTGGTCTGCACGGTTGAAGACAGCTCTGTCTCATATCTGAAAGCTTTGTAAGATGGGACTTGCATTGCACCTGGGGGATGTGGCCAGCCTTCAGGCCAAGGGTTAAGAACCCTTCAGCAAGGGTTATGATGAGTAAACCAATATTATCTATGTAGAAGTAGAGATGACTGAGATGTGTCATTCTACTGATATCAGAACACATAAGAGAGAAGTGAAATAATTGCCTTATGATGGGTCTAGCTGCAAGGCCTCCATTGCCAGATGCTGAGCCTCCATTCCTAAATCTTCAAGAAACATGCCTTCTGACCATGACTGCCCCTGTTCTTTTGTCTCACTGGCAACACACCTCTGGGCAAGCATAAATTCTATGAAAAATAGCTGCAGGATTGTTTGTTTATTTTTGTCTGTTTGTTTATTTTTATCAGAACAGGTATTTGACCTGACTGAATGATTTGTTCTGTAGTATTTCCAATCTCCTGTTGGCTGCATCTTCTCCCTTTCCACCCATTCCAAAACCCTGTGTTCAGTCTGTTCCCACTCTTAAAAAAACTAAAATATAAAAAAGTGGTTGTATATACACATACATAAAACTGTTTAACTGCATGTTTTTTAAATATGATACCTCACTCCTGTCAGCTAACTTTTCCATTCACTGTTCTCTCTGCACCTAGAAAATTAGGACTAATTCCTGTTCAAATAGCGTAAGTATGATTTCACATAAATCACTTCTGGGAAGAGTGGGACTAGAGCAGGCTACATCTCCTAGAAAATGACTTCTTGCCTGCGAGCAAAACTACTGAAGTTTATCCTTACACCAGAACCTGCCGATTGTCTTTTTTTGTGCAAAGTGCCTCCATAAGCCAGAGAAATTACCAAAAGTGTGAAAAGGTGTCTTTTATCTGTAACAGAAGGCGGCCTTCGGGATGAATCTGCAGCTGCCTTACCCGAACTAAAAGTTACCGCTTCTTTCACGCCGGCTGTCTGCTCTGGACAGAACACCGTATTCTCATCACATTCAAATGCAAACTTTCGCAGAGGCACATAGCGCTTGACATGGTCACGTATCAAGGAAAGCTACTTAAAAGTATGCAAGTCGATTTTTATTGCACAGAGTGTTTCAACGTTCCCTCTTACAACTTTTGCAAGTTGATAAGGATACATTTTCCTTCTTAACAACGTTTGGTGCAGTCCAAAGAGGCCTTGGGCATACGTTTCAGATACTATGTGGCTGCCGAGATGAGGTATTGGTTCATCTGTATTTTTAAGAAACTGTGCAAGACCGTCGGCGCTCTGCCAGTTTCAGCGTGTCAGCAGCGGTGGGGGTATTAGTGGTTCCCTTCCTAAACCTGGATTTGCAAAATGGCGTCCCTCTCCTTGTTCTGGCGGCCAGCAAACCCTCAGCCCCTGGGTGGCTGTCAGCCCCACCTGCCAGCGGGCCCAGGGCTTGTGGGTGCCAGGTTGGTGGCCGCATCTGGGGGGCATCTGGGGGGGCTGCAA